CTCACTCACACACACACTCTCTCTCTCTCACTCACTCAGACACACACACACACTCTCGCACACTCACTCACACACACACTCTCACTCACTCACACACTCTCTCACACAGACAAACACACACACACACACACAGTAAACCTGTGATAAACTACAGCTGTGGAGTGTGTAAGGATTTTTATGCACACACATGTTCCTGTCGCAGTCGTGGCTGTTCATGAATCTGTTATTTTTTTATTGATTATGATTTGTGTTCACGCTGTCCGCGCAGATGAGATCTGATCCACACAGATGCTGATGAACGGTTTTGTTCAGAGATGAGTGTGTGACGCTGCAGATGCTGAGTGTGTGGTAGCGAGAGACACTTTAGCACTTCTAGTCTAGTCTTCAATGAGAAGAGGAAGGGGTGATTGTTGCTGGTTACTGTATGATGATTGAAATCACGAAATGGCCTTAAACGGTTAGTAAATAAACTGCAGAAAGTCATGTTTTCTAATACACGCGCGCATTGCATGTATTCTGACAGCGCTGCACGAGCTCGCAGCAGATCTGCTTGTTAACCAGGGTTCAAAGTCCAAAGCGCGAAAGTGTAATGAATTTTTACAAGGCACGTGACAATGCGATACGTACGACGTATTCGTAATGAGACTCTTTTATAAATCTGTTATCAACAAAAATAAGCATTGAGGTCTTCCTGCGCGTTTCCGCCAAAACAAAAGTTGAGAAAAAGCAAGAACTCTTATAAACATTCATAAATGTTAGTAATGTAATGTTACTGTTGTTCTGTAAAATAACATAAAGAGTAAGACAATAATGATAATAATCATTACAACAGCTCTGTTTTAATACATTTATTATAACATTCACACATAGTGTTCAAATTAGGATCTGTAATATTTCTAATGTTTTAAAAGAAGTCTCTTCTCAGAAAGGCTGCTTTTAATTGTACAGTAAAAAAATTTAAATGCATGCCTGATTCAAGAAGGGGGTCTGATGGCCAAAAATTATTATTTTACTAACTTATTAATTTTAAGTTAAATTGTGCTTTGTTGGTATAGTCATGTTTTCTAATACACGCGCGCATTGCATGTATTCTGACAGCGCTGCACGAGCTCGCAGCAGATCTGCTTGTTAACCAGGGTTCAAAGTCCAAAGCGCGAAAGTGTAATGAATTTTTACAAGGCACGTGACAATGCGATACGTACGACGTATTCGTAATGAGACTCTTTTATAAATCTGTTATCAACAAAAATAAGCATTGAGGTCTTCCTGCGCGTTTCCGCCAAAACAAAAGTTGAGAAAAAGCAAGAACTCTTATAAACATTCATAAATGTTAGTAATGTAATGTTACTGTTGTTCTGTAAAATAACATAAAGAGTAAGACAATAATGATAATAATCATTACAACAGCTCTGTTTTAATACATTTATTATAACATTCACACATAGTGTTCAAATTAGGATCTGTAATATTTCTAATGTTTTAAAAGAAGTCTCTTCTCAGAAAGGCTGCTTTTAATTGTACAGTAAAAAATTTTAAATGCATGCCTGATTCAAGAAGGGGGTCTGATGGCCAAAAATTATTATTTTACTAACTTATTAATTTTAAGTTAAATTGTGCTTTGTTGGTATAGAATGTTAAAAATGTTCAGTGTTAAATATTTTTTAATTGTTTTTTTTAATTGTTTTTTTTTTTCTTTGAAAAGCAAGACAAAACAGTAAAAAGCACATTTTGGCTTTTTAATTTATGCAATGGTGAAAAAAAAAATAGGCAAAACACTTGTGGGGGAAAAAACTCGAAAAACCGTGTTCGGTATTCAACCTTCGGCCCAGTGTTTAATTTTGTTCGGTTTCAGCTTCAGCCAAGAATTTTCATTTCGGTGCGTCCCTAAAGCAAACTAATGAGCTGCCCATGGCTTCTGTGGAGATCAGTTGGCATTCAGATGTGGCTTTATTTCATGACGCACCTCACTGTAGGCTCTTTAAAAAGTCTGAAATCACATGATCAAAATTAAGCCCATTAAAAGTCTTAAATAGTCTCAATTTTAATTTTAAGAGGTGGTAAATTTGGGGTTAGAAAAACAGTTTCCCCAATACAGATATATGATTATTAAACTTTAAAGGGTTATGATTGAATGAAATAAATGTGAGCGTGGCTCGTTTCGAAGTTAAAGCGCGGCGCTATCGCGTGTTCAACAGGATCATGGTTTCAGAGTGAACACCACACATTTATGCCTAATGATTGCTAATGACGCACACTATGTGCATGTTACGGTGTTTATTATAATATGTTGTAGATGGTTGCAAGATGCAGATTTTATGTCTCGGCTAAAATAACAAAGCATTGACATTTCAGAATAAGAGTCCCTGTGTATTTAATGCTTGTTTATGATTAAAAGGCCCTCGTTATGCATAAAGTATTTTATTATTGGTATTTTGGTCACACAGTAAACACTGTCTGGCATTTAAATCAATGCAATCACTTGTATTTTCTCTCGGAACCGCCGTGTCACAGGGAAAAAAGACCAAGAACATTTTTAACACATTTCGTATATATATTTTAATAGTATCGCCACAATAAACTTCTTATTGCCTTTCTTTAAATGCATTATAGTATCAGCTCAATCCAGTTCCGGTGGACCTGTGTGTGTGTGTGTGTGTGTGTGTGTGTGTGTTGATATGTGAGAGCATGCTTCAGTTCATGTGTAAATATGGAATAAAACATTTCTTAATTTAGCAGATGCTTTTATCCAAAGCGACTTACAAATGAAGACAATAGAAGCAATCAGAATCAACAAAAGAGCAATGATGTGCAAGTGCTATAACAAGTCTCAGTTAGCTTAACGCAGTACATGTAGCAAGTTTTTTTGTTGAAGAATAGAATTAGAATAGAGAGTGCTAGAGTTGGAAGAGATGTGTTTTAGCCGATTCTTGAAGAATCTACACTTTGACACTTGCACTTACCCTGTTTTGCGGTTATTTTGAGATGATATGTGTTTGTTCTGTAACCGCATGCTGTATTTTATTTGTACAGGTCTTAAAAAGTCTTACATTTGATTTTAAAGCCCTGAAAAGGCATCTGCTGAACTTCAGGTCACTTCCGTCGCTGCAGAGCCGATATGTGTCGGGATCTGTTCAAGCGCAACTTTTACTGAAGTGCTTTCAGAGTCGCAGGAAGTAGAAAGTGCCGCTCTCATCTGTTCTTACAGATTTTTCTTCTGGTTCTGCTAATGTGAAGATTATTTTTGCAGCCCCATCAGCAGGTCTCATGGAGAGGAAGTCTCTGGTCTTGTATTGAGAAACAGCTGACACTTCTCTGTCGCAAAATTAAACTCTCACTTCCTGTAACTGTGCGGTGCCTGCTTTTCTGACTCTGCAGCGATCGAGAAGCGCCGAAGCGCCGAACAAACCTTGTTTTTGTTAAACCACACTGACACATCATTGCTCTGAGTGACCTGATGCCACCTGAGCTCAGGAGCTCAGCGTAAAACTGAGTTCACATTCAAAATCAGCAGACTCTGTAAATATAGACATATAAATATTATCTGATTTGATTTTCAAGCTGAAATTCTGAAATTCTGCCCATGAAGCATAAGGTTGGCGCGCTCACTCACTGCACACTAAACAATGCACACTGCATACTGCTTCAGAATTACAGCGAGTAAAACTGGGCATTGCCTTGAGCGATACAGTGTGTGATGCAGTGAGCTCTGTTGAGTACTGCAGTAGTGTACACATGCTGTATACTGCAGAATGCTAGTATGCTAACCCTAGTGTCTTCTGGTTCTGCGTTTGTCTCTTCCAGTTATCTCACTGTGTTGTTGTTGTTGTTTCTAATGCTGCCTGTACTTTAGGATTGCTTGCTGCAGAAAGTAGGTATCCCACGTAGCCTTTGCTTGCCATCCAAACAACATCATCTTCATCTTTATCTTCATCATCTGTTGTCTTGCATGTTCTTCAGCACATCTGTCCATCAAGTGCTTCTTCGTTTTCCACTGAAACGTGACTCAAACAATCAGAAACCAGGATTCCTCTCCTTTCCTGTGCTGATGTGAATGATGTCTGAGCTGTGTGAGGATCTGTGAGGTTCATCTCCATCTGTTGAGTTTTAGGAGGTTCTCAGGAGCTTCCATGATGCGCCTGATTCTTTATTCATGCACATGCACTGGTCTTTGGCAAAGAGCTGGTTTGGTGTCGCTGATGGTTGTGTGTTTGTGTTTTTAGGGGCCGTATCTCAGGTTCTGGACAGTCTGGAGGAGATCCACGCGCTGACCGACTGCAGTGAGAAAGATCTGGACTTCCTGCACAGCGTCTTCCAGGACCAACATCTGCACACACTGCTGGATGTGAGTAAACACTCACTCACACTCTCTCTCTCTCTCAATTCAATTCAATTCAATTCAATTCGTGCTTTATTGGCATGACAATTGTTACAATGTATTGCCAAAGCATAGTGTTTACATTGAATCTAGAACAGATATATATGCAACAAAAACATGTATGTATGTATATACATTTAAAAAAGTTAAACAAATTAATGTTTTAGAATCGTAGAATTCTACAAACAATTTATAATTCAGTGTGTGTGTGTGTGGTGTGTGCGTGTTTGTGTGTGTGTGTGTGTGTGGGCGCATCACTGATTTGTTGACTCCTCCCTCTTTTTGTGACAGGCATCAATGTATCTTGCTGCTAGTAAGATACAATCTTGTTTTTCACCTAATAAATATTGAAGTTGTGTTTTCTTGTTTAACATTTTAAAATCAGGGTAAAGTATTTCAAATTTGGGATAAGATGTGTTTGTAATGTGTTCAGAGTTGGGGCAGCTGGTGAGGAGGTGTTGCTCTGTGAGTACAGTGAGGGCAGATGCGGCTCTCTCTGGGCAGCCAGTGCTGTGGATATCTGGCCGTCTCTAGAGTCAGAGTATGGCTGCTCAGTCTGTACCTCGTCATCTGTCTTCTTCATTTACAGTCTTGCACTGTACTCAGATATTCCGCAGCGGTGTAATCTCTATTTAGGGCCAAATAACATTCAAGTTTACTTTGTTTTTCTGTTGTTTCAGTCCAATAGGTTAGATAATTTTCTTTTTGTGCTTTTATAATTTGGTTGGGCCGAATTTTGTGGATGAATATTTCAGAGTCCTGATGCTGGATGTTGTTAGTCATGTTAGTCTGTTTTTGCAGCTTCAGGACCGTCTGAATCAGGGGACTTTTTTCAGGGTTCACTTCATGGTTTTTAAGGGCTTTAAAATGGTAAGAGTTGGGGTCACTCATTTTTAGGTGTTTCCAAAATGTGATGGCTCTTTTCTCAATGCGCATTAGTAGAGGGTATTGGCCTAATTCTGCCCTGCAGGCGTTGTTCGGTGTGCTCCTCTGTACTCTGAGGAGACTCTTACAGAACTCAGCATGCAGGGCTAATAAAACATTTCTTAATTTAGCAGATGCTTTTATCCAAAGCGACTTACAAATGAAGACAATAGAAGCAATCAGAATCAACAAAAGAGCAATGATGTGCAAGTGCTATAACAAGTCTCAGTTAGCTTAACGCAGTACATGTAGCAAGTTTTTTTGTTGAAGAATAGAATTAGAATAGAGAGTGCTAGAGTTGGAAGAGATGTGTTTTAGCCGATTCTTGAAGAATCTACACTTTGACACTTGCACTTACCCTGTTTTGCGGTTATTTTGAGATGATATGTGTTTGTTCTGTAACCGCATGCTGTATTTTATTTGTACAGGTCTTAAAAAGTCTTACATTTGATTTTAAAGCCCTGAAAAGGCATCTGCTGAACTTCAGGTCACTTCCGTCGCTGCAGAGCCGATATGTGTCGGGATCTGTTCAAGCGCAACTTTTACTGAAGTGCTTTCAGAGTCGCAGGAAGTAGAAAGTGCCGCTCTCATCTGTTCTTACAGATTTTTCTTCTGGTTCTGCTAATGTGAAGATTATTTTTGCAGCCCCATCAGCAGGTCTCATGGAGAGGAAGTCTCTGGTCTTGTATTGAGAAACAGCTGACACTTCTCTGTCGCAAAATTAAACTCTCACTTCCTGTAACTGTGCGGTGCCTGCTTTTCTGACTCTGCAGCGATCGAGAAGCGCCGAACAGAACAGCAAACCTTGTTTTTGTTAAACCACACTGACACATCATTGCTCTGAGTGACCTGATGCCACCTGAGCTCAGCGTTTTTATGTAAAACTGAGTTCACATTCAAAATCAGCAGACTCTGTAAATATAGACATATAAATATTATCTGATTTGATTTTCAAGCTGAAATTCTGAAATTCTGCCCATGAAGCATAAGGTTGGCGCGCTCACTCACTGCACACTAAACAATGCACACTGCATACTGCTTCAGAATTACAGCGAGTAAAACTGGGCATTGCCTTGAGCGATACAGTGTGTGATGCAGTGAGCTCTGTTGAGTACTGCAGTAGTGTACACATGCTGTATACTGCAGAATGCTAGTATGCTAACCCTAGTGTCTTCTGGTTCTGCGTTTGTCTCTTCCAGTTATCTCACTGTGTTGTTGTTGTTGTTTCTAATGCTGCCTGTACTTTAGGATTGCTTGCTGCAGAAAGTAGGTATCCCACGTAGCCTTTGCTTGCCATCCAAACAACATCATCTTCATCTTTATCTTCATCATCTGTTGTCTTGCATGTTCTTCAGCACATCTGTCCATCAAGTGCTTCTTCGTTTTCCACTGAAACGTGACTCAAACAATCAGAAACCAGGATTCCTCTCCTTTCCTGTGCTGATGTGAATGATGTCTGAGCTGTGTGAGGATCTGTGAGGTTCATCTCCATCTGTTGAGTTTTAGGAGGTTCTCAGGAGCTTCCATGATGCGCCTGATTCTTTATTCATGCACATGCACTGGTCTTTGGCAAAGAGCTGGTTTGGTGTCGCTGATGGTTGTGTGTTTGTGTTTTTAGGGGCCGTATCTCAGGTTCTGGACAGTCTGGAGGAGATCCACGCGCTGACCGACTGCAGTGAGAAAGATCTGGACTTCCTGCACAGCGTCTTCCAGGACCAACATCTGCACACACTGCTGGATGTGAGTAAACACTCACTCACACTCTCTCTCTCTCTCAATTCAATTCAATTCAATTCAATTCGTGCTTTATTGGCATGACAATTGTTACAATGTATTGCCAAAGCATAGTGTTTACATTGAATCTAGAACAGATATATATGCAACAAAAACATGTATGTATGTATATACATTTAAAAAAGTTAAACAAATTAATGTTTTAGAATCGTAGAATTCTACAAACAATTTATAATTCAGTGTGTGTGTGTGTGGTGTGTGCGTGTTTGTGTGTGTGTGTGTGTGTGGGCGCATCACTGATTTGTTGACTCCTCCCTCTTTTTGTGACAGGCATCAATGTATCTTGCTGCTAGTAAGATACAATCTTGTTTTTCACCTAATAAATATTGAAGTTGTGTTTTCATTTTTAACATTTTAAAATCAGGGTAAAGTATTTCAAATTTGGGATAAAATGTGTTTGTAATGTTTTGATGGCATAAAAGGCCCTTCTTGCTTTCTCTTTCAGTTCATTCACAGCCAAATTTAGCTTGCCAGTGGCATTTATCTTCAGCCCGAGGTATGTGTAGTTTGTGACATTTTCAATTTTGGTCACACCAAGGGTGAAGTTATGTCTCTTTCCCTGAACTCTGGGTCTTTTCTGGAATGTTAGTACTTTAGTTTTGTTAGGGTTAATCGTCAGGGCCCAGGTCTGACAGAACTTGTGCAGGATGTCTAGGCTCTGCTGTAGACCCTCTTCTGTTGGAGACAGCAGAACCAGATCATCTGCAAACAGCAAGAGCTTTATGTTGGAGTCATGCAGTGTGAGGCCAGGTGCTGCTGATTGTTCCAGGAGTTTCACCAATTCATTAATGTAGATATTGAAGAGGGTCGGTGATAGTCTCTCACTCTCACTCTCACTCACTCACTCACTCACTCACTCACACACACTCACACACACTCTCTCTCACACGCGCACACACGCGCACACACACACACTCTCTCTCACACGCACAAACTCACGCACACACTCACAAACACACACTTACAAACACTCACTCACTCACTCACACACACACTGTTGAGTCATCTGTGTTTGCTTTCATTCTTCACATCACTGAAGGACTGAGACACAGACAGATGTTTGATTTGTTCCTGTGGAGCTCGACTCTGTTTCTGTTGCAGATCTGTGTGACTGTGGTCCGCAGACGGAAGAAATCACTTCCTGTGTGTTTGACTTTAATGACAGAGATATAACATTTTATATAAATCCATTAAAGGATGTCACACAAATGAAGAGTGGAAAACACACAACAGAACAACATCAACACACTGTTATGAGCTCATCCAGCATCTGTGGATGTATCGGTCTGTTTAATTATTAATGGTCTGTTTAATTACAGTAAGTTTGATTAGCAGTGGCGTGTGTTTCAGACTGACATGGATGTTGTTAGCAGTCCTGCAGTGACACACTCTCTGCCCACTGTCTAGACACCAGTCAAATGTGTCGTCTTTCAGAACTCCTGCTGAGCAGCTGACGATTCGGCTTTATTTCCCAACCATCTTCATCATCATCATCATCATGATGTCACACCATCTGTAAAAACCCTGCAGGTTCACAGAGATGAGCTGCATCAGTGTTTCTGTACTGTGTGTTTGCGTGTTGAATGTGACCGCAGCGGCGACAGGATCCACTGCTGCTAAAGTTCATCATGGTGCTGATCTCGGCACGAATGTGTGTGTGTGTCATTGTATGTGTGTGTTTGAGAGAGAGTGTGTGTGTGTGTGTGTGTGTGTGTTTGAGAGAGAGTGTGTGCCTTTGTGCGCGTTTTTGTGACAAATGAGGACATACATTTGTATAATGACAAAGGTATGACAGGTATTACAAGGAGAAGGTGACTTTTCAGGACATTACCCCATGTCCCCACTTTTCAAAACACTTATAAATCACACAGAATGGAGTGTATTGAAAATCTGAAATAGCAGAAAGTCTCCTGTGAGGGGTAGGTTTAGGGGTAGGGTTGGTGTAGGGCAATAGAATATACGGTCTGTACAGTATAAAAACCATTACGCCTATGGGATGTCCCCACTTTTCACAAAAACAAACCTGTGTGTGTGTGTTTCTAGATCACGAGATGCATGCGTTCAGCTGATGGTCTCACTGATATGACTGATGAACTGAGCTGTGTGTGTTTCAGCTGTACGACAAGATTAACACCCGCTCGTCGCCGCAGATCAGGAATCCGCCCAGTGACGCCGTCCAGAGAGCCAAAGAGGTGCGAAACCAACACGGCACACACTCCTCGAACCTCTCTCAGCTCCAGGAGCGTCTGACGGATATTCTGTGCAGCGTTTATATCTGTGCTCTCAGAGACTCTTGTCAAACATTACATACATCTGAACATTCACAGTCAGAACCTTCCAGCATTTATTCATGTTTCAAACACAAGGAACGTAGCGAGTAGATGAATGGATCAGAATATGAGGCTTCGTCACGTAACACTCGGTTAATAAGACTAGAGCTTCTCATCTTCAGCTCTGGTTTACATTAATACGTGACCCTGGAGCACAAAACATAAGGGTCATAAGGGTCAATTTTTAGAAATTGATATTTATACATCATCTGAAAGCTGAAAGCTAATCTTTCCATTGATGAATGGTTTGTTAGGATAGGACAATATTTGGCTGAGATACAACTATTTGAAAATCTGGAATCTGAGGGTGCAAAAAAATCTAAATATTGAGAAAATCATCTTTAAAGTTGTTCAAATGAAGTTCTTAGCAATGCATATTACTAATCAAACATTAAGTTTTGATATATTTACGGTAGGAAATTTACAAAATATCTTCATGGAACATGATCTTTACTTTAATATCCTAATGATTTTTGGCATAAAAGAGAAATGTATAATTGTGACCCATACAATGTATTGTTGGCTATTGCTACAAATATCCCCCAGCGACTTAACACTGCTTTTGTGCTGCAGGGAC